CTATAAAAATCCTATTGGGAATTATATGCATTTCCTTTATTATTTCCTGTATTACACTGAATTTATAAATGACTTTGAGGAGAATTGCCACATTTATTATACTGGAGTTTTCTATATATTGTATACACCTATCCACTTATATAAGTCCTTACAAGAAATTTCATATTTTCTCCATAAATTTCATAGCACCAGATAGTTTATAGTTTTTGTTCCTACTGTGAATTATTTCCCTATCACTGTGGAGATCTGAGCAGAAGCTCTATGGTAGATAAAAAGGTTTCTATAAAGCATAAGTTGTTTCCCAGAAGCCAGCACAACCCAAACATTCAGGGTTTTTCACATTGCTATTAGTTGTTAAAATGAAATTAAGATATAAAGCAAGCTGATTCTGTGCTGATAATTAGAACTGAAATAATTTGAGATACTATCATATATAAACTATAAATTAAACTTTAAAATAACCATAAAATTTTTAGCCTTCTCAATGACCAGGTGAATTTTTAAGTGCTAAATATTCAAGTATATCAATCCTATTAGACATTCTTTATCTTCATTATTCTATTTTTGGGCTATTTCTACTATAATACTTTCAAGATATTTCTGTATTAAAACTTTGGATTTTAATGTAAAATTTCCCATAGCTAGCAAAAAGTATTTTCAGTAATGATTTATGTTTCTGGGTATGAAACATGGATTTTTAAAAGAATGCTTTAAACATTTTCATGATGAAAACACACAGCTAACTAGGAATCAAAGGGATCTCTTCCTGATTATGGCAAGAGGAGGGGGAAAGTAAACATTCTGAAATACTCCCAGATTATTCTGCTCTCCTCACAAAGGCCTGTACTCAAAGGAAACTATCTTATCAGAGGCTTATCAACTTGGGCTTATCAGAGCCTGTCAATCTGAGGGAAGGGAAATACTCATCTCCAGCACCTTCCAGTTTTTGACATGGGGGAAGACACAGAACTCAGACTCACAGAAGATTGAGATCTAATCAAGGGCTAAACCACAGATCTCCTCTCCCTCACCTTACCACATCAGTCTGTCTCTCACATGAATGTGAGGGATTGCCGAAGGAGGAAGTGTAAGGTTCAGACCCTGTTTAAGAAGGAGTTTCTAGGGAAACCTGAAGATAGCAGGAGGATGAAAACAAGGACACTAGATGCAATTTTAGCCTCTCATACCACAGCTATAGGAAACAGTAAACACAGCCTAACTTCTAGTCAGAGAAACATGAAACCTCACCCAAAAGGCCTATTTGCCTCATTCCTTTTATCCAATACCTCATGTGTGGCTTTCAACAAAAAGTTATAGGGCAGCTCAAGACAAAAATCACATTCTGAACAGACAGAGCAAGCATCAGAATTAGACTCAGACTCAGATATGACAGAAATTTGGGAATTACCAGACTAGAAATTTGAAATAACTATGATTAATATGCTAAAGACTCTAGTGGTAAAAGTAAATGACATGTTTACTTTTTACAGATGGATAATGGAAGCAGAGAGATAGAAACTCTAAGAAAGAATCAAAAGGAAATGTTAGCAATAAAAAAACACTGTAACATAAATAAGGAATGCCTCTGATGGGCTCATCAGTTGTCTAAACATCCCCAAGGAAATAACTAGTGAACGTGAAGATATGCCAATAAAAACTTCCCAAACTGAAAAACAAAGAGATAAAAGAATGAAAAAAATAAAATAAAATACCAAGAACTGTGGGGCAATTATAAAAGGTATAACATACATGGATTGGGAATACCAGAAATAGAAGAGAGAAAGGAACAGAAAATTCTTGAAATAATTATTGGTGAGAATTTTCCAATATTAATCACAGACATCTAACTTAGACCCAGACCTCAGAAAACACCAATCATGATAAATCCCAAAAATCTACACCTAGGCATTTCCTATGCAAACTGTTTTCAAAAGAAAATCTTGAAAGAAACCTGAGAGGATAAAAAAAAAAAAAAACAAAAACAAGAACACCCTTACCTATACAGGAACAAGGATAGTAACTACATTGGACTTCTCTTTCAAATCTATGAAAGCAAGAACAGAGTGGAGTGAAATACTTAAAGTGTTAAAAGGAAAAAACACCAAGCTAGAATTTTGTATCCAGTGAAATTATTCTCCAAGTGTAAAGGAGAAATAAATGCTTTCTCAGACAAATGAAAATTGAGGAAATTTGTTGCTCACACACCTGCCTTGCAAGAAATGTTAAAAGTTCTTCAGAGAGAAGTAAAATAATGTAGATCAATAACTCAGATATACATAAAGAAAGGAATAACATTAAAGAAGGAATAAATAAAGATAAAATGATATCTTTTATTTTTCTTATTGGTTTAACAGATACGGTTTTCTCAAAATATAATAACAACGATATGTTAGGTGATTATGGGCTACGGACAAATGCAATGTATGGCAGCAATATAAGAGATTGGAGAGAGGAATTGGAAATACTGTTGTAAGGTACCTGTCCTACCCATGACATGGTATAGTATTATATGAAAGTGGACAATTTAATTGTAAAGGTAAATTGCAAACTCTAAGACAACCACTAAAAACATTTTTAAAAGAGGTATAATTGAAATGCTAAGAAAGGAGAGAAAATAGATCAGTTAAAAACCAGACAAGGCAGGGAAAAAAAGTGGAAGACAAAGAAAAAACATAAGAAAGGGTACAAATAGAAAATAGTTACAAATATGAAAGATATTAAACTAGTAATAACTGTAAAAGTGTATGGTCTAAATATACCAATTAAAAGACAGACACTGTACGAGTGGATTTAAAAAAAAAAAGACAACTCTATGTTGTCATAAGAAACACATATTAAATATGAAGACACAAATAGATTAAAATAAGGGGATGGAGTTGGCTAATTGAATTTAAATAAATAAAAATTAAAAAAATAGAGGGATGGAGAAAGATACACATATTAACACTAATAAAAGAAACTGGAGTAGCTATATTAATTTCAGACAAAACTGACTTCAGAATAAGGAAAATTACTAGGAATAAAAAGAGGCATTGCATAATAATAAAGGAGTCAATTGTCTAAGAAGACGTAGCAATCTTCAGTGCACCTAACAACAGAGCATCAAAATATATTAGACAAGAACTCATGGAACAGCAAAGAGAAATAGATGAATGTACTGTTATAAGCGTAGACTCTAATACTTCTCTGTCAGTAATCAACAGATCCAACAGAGAGAAAATCAGTAAGGATATAATTGAACAGAACAGAGCCACCAATTCATTGCATCTAACTGACATTGAGAGAATGTTTGTTTAACAGCAGAATACACTTTCTTCTCAAGCTCAACGAAACACTCATTAAGATAGACCACATTCGGGGCGCCTGGGTGGCTCAGTTGTTAAGTGTCTGCCTTCGGCTCAGGTCATGATCCCAGGGTCCTGGGATCGAGCCCCACATTGGGCTCCCTGCTCAGTGGGAAGCCTGCTTCTCTCTCTCCCACTTGTCCTGCTTGTGTTCTCTCTCTGGCTGTCTCTCTCTGTCAAATAAATAAAGAAAATCTTTAAAAAAAAAAAAAAAGATAGACCATGTTCTAGGCCATAAAGCCCACCTTAGCAAGTTTTTTGAAAAATAGAAATTATCAAAGTATGCTATCAGTCCACAGTGGAATTAAACTAGAAATCAATAATAGAAAGATACCTGAAAAGTCCCCAAATATCTGGAGATTAAGCAAAAACACTTCTAAAAATCACATAACTCAAGAGAAATTTAAAAATATGAACTAAAATAAAATGATAATGCAACTTAACCAAAATTTGTGAGAATCTAACACTCATAAAGTTTCAAAGTCTTTTAAAAACCCTCAGCAAACCTAGAACAGGGGGAGACTTCTCCAACTTGATAAAGAACATCTACTAAAAAACCTATAGCTAATATACTTAATGGTGAGAACCTAGATACTTTCCCTCCTTAAGACAGGGAACAAGGTAAGGATGTCCCTCTTCCCACTCTTATTCAACATCATACTGGAAGTTCTGGTTAGTATGATAAAATAAGGAAATAAAAAACTAAAAGGATTGGGAAGGAAGAAAAATGCCTTTGTTTGCAGATGTCATGACTGTTTATGTAGAAAATTCTAAGGAATCAACAAATGGAACTAACAAGTGACTATAGCAATGTTATAGGATATGAGGTTAATACACAAAAGTCAATGAACAAT